ATACATACATACATACATACATAAATACATAATAAAAAGGCCTGATATCACTTCTCTAACTCAGTGTTGAAGCTATTTCTACATTAGTTTTGTTTGGTTGGTTTAGACTGGTTTAGATTTTGGCTCGTTTTCCAAGTCAAAAACCCTTGTGTATATACCTTGTTGCCCAGAGCATCCTACTGCTAATCTAAATTGTTTGCACTCATTTCTTACACCTTCATTCAAATATACCCTCTGTCCAGTGTAACTCAATTGTTACACTCTGTGATTAACTGATATTTATTTTTCCATGTGGTTAATAATAGTGTTCTAGGAATATACAGATAGTTTTTCTCACCTATATTGTCTCTATACTGACCTTTGTACATGAGATGAATCTCTCAACAAAATGTTGATAATCCACAGATATTTATATTATCTTCACACAAGTAAAGCAATTGTAAGAAAATTAAAAGGAGTTTGCATGCCTGAAAAGGCAGAGAGCCTCACAGGGAGAGTACAGAATTTTACTGGCATATGTCACCTCCAGCATTATCCCTGAGTTCCCTCCATCATGCAGCACCATCTAACTACAAGAACTTGGGAGACATTGCATTTCAGATGAGTACCAAGGAAGGAAAAAAAAAAATAACTGGTTAGTATCTACCAGTCTCTTCCAGTCTGGCCTTCTGGACACCACATATCCCCTAATTCTTGATCCCTGCAAGAAAATATTTTTCTCTCCACAAAGAAGACAACCTAGAGTTCAGCTCTGAATCCAGGTCTGTCTGAAGCCTTAGCATCTCCAACAAATGGAGATGTGGTTCCGTATAATCTAGTGATGTGAGAACCAAGTCCAAAGTTATCTCCATCTTTCCCCATAAAGCACATAGCATGCAAGAAGCTTCCATCAGCAAGAGGAAAAGCAAGAGAGAGGAGAGAGAGAGAGAGAGAGAGAGAAGACACAGCAGCCCCTGGACCACACACAAGCTGCCGAAGCTGCTGTGGAGTTGCTGCAAGGGCTCCTCTCACCTGGAGGTGAGAAACTCTTCCTAGGAGTTGTTCCCTTCTTACTCCCCTGGATCCAGCCCCAGGGAAGTGTTTGAAAGGCTCCCCACTCACCTCTTGCTGTTATCCTCACTGAAGGCTACATTGAAGTTCTTCAGTTCACTTCCTGCAGGTTTTTACTTTTGAACACTCAATTAAACCTTGATTCAGTTTCTTCAGTGAAGAAATTTTCTTTAAAAATTGGTACTTCTGTTCTATTTGCCTCCAATTAATTTTACATGCCAATAACTACATTCAAATTCTTTTTATTTATAGTTCTAAAACATACTTTTTTTCTTGCCCCTTACTTTAGTCTCTCAGTGGTGACTTCCCAGAGGTTATCTAACAATGGGATAGGTTGTAAAAGGCATATCCTTAATAGACTTTTTTTTTTTTTTTTTTTTGCTGCAATGCTAATTCTTGTTGGAGATATAGATCAAAGCCAAGGGCTAAAACCTTTGATTTCTCACTGCAAACTAGGTGATATTCTTTAATTCAACTCTTCCTTTGTATATTAACTTTTAAAGACAGGTGGAACCAGTTTTAACATTTAGTCATTTCTGAGTGACTTCACCTGCAGCTACAACACTCGGTAGGACATGACCTCCTTATCCCCAGCAGTGGTTCTCCCATTCATAAGATGCGCTGCTGGCCGTCCAAATTACTATACAGCACTTACATTAATGACCTCACGCTGCCTCCTAGGAGAAATCACTAGAGACTCAGCTCTTGAGACTTTCACTATCTTTCATCCTCTCTTTCATTCTCTATTTTGTTATTGACCGGCAGATCACTCTATCTCTCTGATATCTGCAGAATCTTTCCTCTTATTTCTAAGCCCAGGTGCTACCATCTTAATTTGAGCTACTCTATCACAGGTGAAGAATTGCCTTTTTACTAGTCTCCATGCTATAAAATGCAGCACATTCCAAATACAATTTTGTTTAAAAGTATTTAGATTATCTCTCTGCTTTGTGGTTAAGGCTCAATGTTCATCAATATCTAGTTTCATCTTTAAGACCCCCTCATCATCAGATTCCAGTGCCCTTGAACACTCCACGCTGACTTTCATGGTATACAGCCTCAGGTACACTGAGGCCCTCTGACTAGACAAGATGTCCCTTCTTTCTTGTATTAACAGATACCTCTTTTATCTTTACCAAATGCTTTAGAGTTCCTGAGAATGCGTGCCTGCCTGTAAAATCTGATGTGATATTCTCCTATTGACTTTAAAGCAGAAAAGTTGCTCCTATTTACAGTAACACCCATACTATACTCTCATGTTTTACGTGCCCTAATCAGTGAAGGTCATACAACTGCATACATCAAGTATGAACTTCTATATCTGAACTAGTATAACTTTTGTCTCCTTATACCTTACATGATAAATATATGGGTGTTTTTTAATAGATGCATGAATTCCTCAATTTCAGTATATTAATGACCCACAGAGAGAGAGAGATTGACATTCAGTCTTTAATTGCTGCTCTCTTAAGTACCAGATCTCCTTTCCCAACGTCCTAATGGCTATCTCAATATGCATGCCTACTTAACAGATTTTAAAATGGTAATATTTTTAGCTTTCTCCATTTCCTTCCCCACCTGCCTAATATCTGAATTTCCCCTGATATTGTTTGAATGTCTGTCTCTTCAAAATTACACTCGAACCTAAGATCTAATGTGGTACTATTAATGTAAGAGGCTTTTGAGGAGTGGCAAAGTCATAAGGATTCATACTTCTATCATGTGAGGACATAGCTTTTATTCTCTCCAGATAATAATGCAGCATATAGGTTGCATGTGTGTAACAACAGAAGCAGAGTACAAAATCCTCTTCAAAGACATTGACAGGCACAGAATATGTGAAAGGGAGCAAGGGGTAGTGGCTGGCTGAATGAAAGTGTTTTCTCCCTATGTTCAGTACAGTTCGATATTTCGTTCCGAGTTGGTGGAACTGTAAGGAAAGGATTAAAAGGTGTGGTCCTGGGGAAACAGCCATGTCACTTGGAGTGGGCTTTGACATTTCAAGAACCCAGCGTCATTTCCAGTGTTGCTTTCACTGTCTTGCTCATGCTATGGGTCAGACTTTCAGCTCTCAGATATGCTCCAGTGACATGCCTTTCAGCTTGCCTGCTTCCATGCTCCTCAAAATGATGGCTTCCGTAACCGTATGCCCTAAATTAAGTGCTTTCTTCTACAAGTTGTTTTAGTGATAGTGCTTTGCCACACAATTGAAAAGTAACTAAGACAGGGATACTCCTTGGTTAGCTGAATTGAGAATAAAAGCAATATTACTGCAATGCTTTTCTGAGATTTCAGTATATTAAGGATCAATGAATATTAAAGGAGACAGTATTAACATACAGGGTTTGTTTGGGTTTTGTTGTATATGGTGGTTTGAAAGGAAATGGTCCCCCATAAGCCCATAGGGATGGCACTAATAGAAGGTGTAGCCTTGCTGAAGTGGGCATGGCTCCGTTGGAGAAGGAACATCATGCAGGGGTAAGCTTTGAGGTCTCAGAAGTTCTAGAACTCTCAGCACCCTCTCCAGCACCATGCCTGCCTGCATGCTGCCATGCTTCCCGCCGTGATAATAATGGACTAAACCTCTGACCCAATTAAGCCACCCCCAAGTAAAGGTTTTCCTTTATAAGAGTTATAATACTCGTGGTGTCTCTTCTCGGTAATAGAAACCCTAACTAAGACATTGTTGTTTGCTTGTTGCTCTTATCTGCTAAAAAAAAAAAACAGTTGTGTCAGGCCAAATCACTCAGGACTAACACACTCAGGCGCACCATTATCACACAATACACTTCACTGCCCTAACGTAGGCATGGTCCCTGGGTCTAATTCTCAGGCGGCATCCACATGCATCCCTCTGTGGTCATTTTTTCCATAGGCTTTCTGCTTCTGATTTTATTTTTTAGCAGAAATACATAGTTATGCCTCACCGTGACTTTAGAATCACCAGTAGCTTTAATGAAACATAGGTTCAAACCCTAGGTGGCTTGGGTACTTCAAAATCTAGCCCCACTTCTCTTCCCGGCTTCATTTCCTAACATATATCATGATCTTTCACCCTTCTGGGTATTTATTGATACATTCTTCTCCTGTTGTTCAATGTGGCTTCTCTCTGCTCCCAACCTAACTCTAAAGAAACAGCTTCACACCGATTCCTAGTGAGATCCCCACTGGCAAATTTTTATTCTGGTCTCTACTTTGTCACTCTTTAGTGTTTCCATGCCCTTTTACTTTTACCTTTAGTTCAGCAATCACCATGCAGTGGGATAAGAAATTGCTCTACTTATACCTAACATTGACCTGTGAGTCTTTTAACTTTTGTTTCCACAGTCTCAACAGTTTATAACAGAGAAAGGACCATCTTTGTTGAATTAAAGGACTATCAACAAATGAGTGGCTCAGTAAATATTTTAGAAATACCTAGGTTAAGAGGAGGCTTTGACTCCTATAACTGGAAATAGGTTGTGAGGTCATTTATTTAAGCTGTTATTATGAAGAGAAAGGCTTTTACTTTACTACACTTCTAGTCAAGAATTCATTTTTACTAACACTTGCCTTATGGAAAACTCTACAGCCTTGGGATTCTGTTTAGGAAACTGGGCAAACATCCTTAGAGATTCTCTGACCTACTTGTCCCAATCAATAGAACCTAAACTATTCAGTAGCAGACAAATAAACATTCTCATATGATCTGGGCTAGAAAATAATGCCAATGATGGAAGACACATAAGCCAGTTCTGGTTCATAAGTTCCCCTACCCTGTTAGGATCTCTTGTCACAGTTTCTGGTGGACCAAAAGTGGGAAGCTCCAGGAACTGTCCTCCTCACACTTTCACAGCTAAAGCTGAAAGTTCTGAGTGCTGTCTAAACCAGAAATTTTCATTTCGAGCTCACAAAAATAAACAGTTCCATGTGTTGGTTTTCTGATTTTCTTGCCTTGATTCAAAGCTTACCTTTTTCGAAAATATCTACAGGCTTGAACTTTTCTTTTATATTCTGCTCCTTGCAGAAGCCCTCCTGTGTGGGCTCCTTTAAAGGTGTGAATTTGGAAGTGTCCTTAGGATAGCCAATGTTTCTGAGTGCTGTACGATGTTCTTGAACCACATCGGGGATGTCACTTTTCTTAATCTCAAAAGGTAGGTATTTCCCAGTTTTCGATTTGTGGTGCTTCTTTTTAAAAACATCTATAGACGTACTGTGAGCCTTACTCTATAAACAAAACAAAAAAGTTAAAATTTTAATATTCATTATTTAATATAATTACATAGTAATTACATAGTAAAGTTTATAAACAAAATTTATAGAGAAAAAAATCACATCATCACTGACTACATTTTCCAAAGTGTCTTACCACAGAAGACTTTTGCTTCCATATGCATAGCAGTCATCAGTGAAGCCCACACTCCAAAGATGTTCCCAAGAGTGAATGTTATCTTCCACTTCAAAAGAAAAGTGAATTGTACAATAGCAATGTCTGCCCAAATGAGGTATTTTAAAATACAGGCACACAAACTGTCAGCCCTTAAAATACACATATAGGCAGCATATGCAGACTGAACAGGTTATATTTAGGAGTATAAGAATATGTATATATACATGCAATAACAGTTAGTAAAAGAAATAATAAAGAAAAATAAAGAGGTCATGAATTTGAAAGAAGAAGAAGGAAGGAAAAAGGAAAGAGGAAGGAAAAGGGAAGAAAAAGGAAGAATTAAAAAAGAAAGAAATGCTCAGCATCCTCAGTCATCAGGAAAATGCAAATCAAAACAACCCTGAGATTTTACCTTACACCCACCAGAATGGCTAAGATCAAAAACTCAAGTGACAACACATGCTGGAGAGGATGTGGAGAAAGGGGAACCCTCCTCCATTGCTGGTGGAAATGTAAACTCGTACAACCACTTTGGAAATCAATCTGGTGCTTTCTCAGACAATTTGGAGTAGTGCTCAAGACCCAGCTATACCACTCCTAGGCATATATCCAAAATATGCTCAAGTACACAACAAGAACATTTGCTCAACCATGTTTGTAGCAGCTTTATTTGTAATAACCATAACCTGGTAGCACCCCAGATATCTATTAACTGAGGAATGGATACAGAAATTGTGGTACATTTACACAATGGAATACTGCTCAGCAACTAAAAACAAGGAAATCATGAAATTTGCAGGCAAATGGTGGAAAGTAGAGAAGATCATACTGAGTGAGCTATCCCAAAAGCAGAAAGACACACATGGTATATACTCACTTATAAGTGGATATTAGACATATAATATGGGATAAACATACTAAAATCTGTACACTTAAAGAAGCTAAGCAAGAAGGAGGACCCTGGGTAAAATGCTCAATCCTCATTCAGAAAGACAAATGGGACAGACATTGGAAGAGGGAGAAAACAGGGAACAGGACAGGAGCCTACCACAGAGGGCCTCTGAAAGATTCTACTCAGCACAGTATCAAAGCAGATGCTGAGACTCATAGCCAAATGTTGGGCAGAGTGCAGGAAATTTTATGAAAGAAGGGGGAGATAGAAAGACTTTGAGGGGACAGGACAGAGCAAAAGAAACAAGAAATCTGGACACAGGGGTCTTTTCTGAGACTGATACCCCAACCAAGGATCATGAATGGAGATAACCCAGAACCATTGCACAGATGTAGCCCATGGCAGCTCAGTGTCCAAGTGAGTTTCCTAGTAAAGGGAACAGGGACTCATTGGCTGGCTTTTTGATCACCAACCCCTGATGGGGGAGCACCCTTACCAGGCCACAGAGAAAGACCAGGCAGCCAGTCCTGATGAGACCTGATAGGCTAGGATCACCTCCCCTATCAGTGGACTTGGAGAGGGTCATGGGAGGAGATAAGGGAGGGAGGGTAGGATTAGGAGGGAAGGAAGGAGAGAGGGTGTAATTAGAAGGGAATGAGGGAGGGGGCTACAGCTGGGATATAAAAATGAGTAAACTGTAATCAATATAAAAATAAAATAAAATACAAGCATACAAACTGTCAGCCCTGAAAATATACATACAAGCAGCATTATGCAGACTGAACAGGTTATATTTAGGAATATAGGAATATATTTATATGAATATATATATTCAATAACAGTTGGTAAAAGAAATAATAAATATAAATATAAATATAGAGGTCATGAATTTGAAGGAGAGCAGGGAAAGGCATATGGAAGCTTTTCAAGGGAAGAAAGGGAAGGGAAAATGTTTTAATTAAATTAAAAGATCATTCAAGCGAAACATAAGCTAAGAGCACAATCTTATTTCCAATAAAAGAAGTGCCATTAAATTCTGTTTAAAATGGTCTCAAAAAATAAACAAAAAACACAAAAATTTAAAAATAAATGAAAAAGAGTAGGATGCAATAAACCATCCTTAAGATCTCCTCCCTCACCTGTGTACCCAAGACCCAGGGCCACAACTCCACCTGTTCTGCAAAGCCTTCTTCCAAACTCCAACCCTCGTCTTTGTTACCCGTTCCTCCTCCACCCTTCCCAACACTTCACAGCTGTCTGCCGCTTAGCAAATGTCTGTTGAGCCAGGCACAGTGTTTGTTGCTGAAGATGCAATGTTCAAAAGAGACTGTCTGCCCTCCAGGGGCTATAGATTAGCAGGAGAGAGTTCTAACACAGAGTGACTGGGAAGACACAGGTACATACGTGACACTGACATGACGGGAGAGATGCATGTCATGCCGAATTCTTGGTTTTGGTTTTGTCTAACAGTGTTAAGGGGATGCTTACTTCAGATGATAAATCCAAATAAATGTTAACACCATGAACCACAGCAAATGTCGACCTGAAGCACGCATAACATCAAATCATTTGAATACCTGAAAAATCTTGCTTTTATATGTCACCTGAACCAGGTTTTATCATTCTCTTCCTGTCTCAGAGCCTATCACATATTAGTGTCCATGAAATCCTTTGTGAAAACAGCATTCAAAAGTATTTATTCATTTTTCTGAATAAAACGTATTACATAATGCGGAACACTACCTCGTTTACTCCCTTGTGATGTTGGGCAATAAGAGATTCTGCTTCTTGTAAAAAATCTTGCTGGGTGTTTTCTAATTCAGGACCTGAAATAGAAATAAAAATATTGCTTATAAAAGAATTTGTAATGAACACTATTACAGAAAAAAATCTGTTTTTAAAAGTCTTCCAGAGTTACACAATTTAATGGTTCTAATCTTCTACTTGAATATTTATTGTAATATTAACAAATTAATATTAAAATAAATTGTAACAATTTAATTGTTAATTAAAGCATATATCCAAAAAAGTATTTGTTTTATTTGTTTGGTTTCTGAGACAAGGTCTCAGGCTGCCTTGGAATTTGCAATTCTCCCCGCCTCAGCCTCCCAGGGACTGGTTAAAGTAATTACTTACATCTTCATAATCAAGGTGGTAAAGCTAGAAGATTAAATTTGGAGGACAGTTGTGAATTTTGCAGGGCTCTATACACTGATCTAAATAATCTTTACAATTAGATTCAAAACAATGAATGTAATGATCCTTTTATATAATATCGGCTATTTAAAAAGAAAACCCAGTGGTTGGGATAATAAGCTAAATGATCTTAAATACTAAATTCCTAAAAAACTAAAGAAAGCACAAACCTGAAAGATCTAACAGCTCTAAAAATTTTTTGAATACCATCTTATAAAAATATTAAATATATTTGGGGCATAAAAATATTAACTTTTATCCTGTTAGCTAACACATAGCACTATACATTTGTGGGGTGTATTTAACTAATAACTTGTTGGTAAAGAAACCATTACAAAATAAAATGCCCAACAAATTGGTGGGATTAGCATGGAAATGAGAAATATTCACACCTGTCGTGTCTGTAGTATTATGATAGTGCTTATCTCTATTTTTCTAAACTTAATTTCCTTCAAAGCTACCTATGAACTCTCTGGCATGTACAGTGTCTACCATTCTCATGTATACTAGTCCAAGAATTCATTCTCCAGTATGTCTGTTAGCTGTGTTGTGTGTTGACTGTTTTCCAGCTTCTTCCTCTTTACCTGGACTCAACAAAATGTGAAAGTAGTTCCTATGCGGATTACCTTTCCGTCTGTCCAGTGGGCTCCCGCACCACTATCTCCTCTGAACTCTTGAAATCAAGGTTTCTGCTTTCTTTACACTTACACAGATTTTAAGGAATTTGCTGTATTTGCTCAAAGTAAAATCATATGAGATACTTTCCTATCACCTGACTCAGCAGAACTAAAGAGACTGGTGAAGTGGAATGGTGGTGGGGTTGTGAGAACACCAAGACCTTCTGCTGTTGGTCATGAAAATACAAATACAAAAGGGAACAAGCAGATTGGAAAAGTATAGAGATGTTTATAAAATTAAAAATATATTTACTGTGTGGTATTGCAATTTTACTTCCAACTATTTACTACTGAAAATGAAAACATGTTCTTAAGAGATTTGAGTAAGATTGCTTCCAGCAACTTGCCTATAAGTCAACTTTGAAAAAAGAATGGAGAAACAAATTGTCTTGTACTTATGCAATGAAACTGTTAGCCATCAAAAAAAAAAAAAAGAAAGAAAGAAAAAAAGAAAAAACAACAAACTATTAACATGTATAGAATGGGGGTGGTTGCAAAAACAGCATGCCAGGTTAAAGTGGTCTGCGCAAATACATACAAATACAAATTCAAATATGTACTGCATGGTTCCCTCATACGATGTTCTGCAATCGACGGTAGCTCTGTGTGGGAAAAACAAAGCAGTGATAAATCTTTCATTGGGGCACCGTGAGTGACAAGTACCTGAGGAGGGTGTGAAAGAGACGTCTGAGCTGATGGTGCTATCCTGTGCCCTCCTGGGAACATGGCTTACACAGGCATTTGCAATTGTGCTAGCTCGTGAATGTACACCTAAGATTTCGGCATTTTACATTAACAGTAATGCACGTTAGAGCTAGAGAAAAAAGTTAGCCCTACCAACCTGCCCAAAACACCACACTGCTGTAGACTATCTGCGGTCATGGACCAGGAGCTGTTCTAATTAACCAACTTCAAAGTACCGGGTTAGGAAAAGAAGCAACTAAAGCTATTCTGTTGGGACAAACAGCACAGAGGTTGTCGCAGGAAATCTCCCTTTTCCTTCCCTCCCTATATGGAAGCTATATATGGAAGTGCTGTTAAGTGGTGGCCAGGCTCAGATTCAACACTTTATTTAGAGAAAGTCCAGCAGTCAATCACAGTGGACTCTCAACTAAAGGGATCTGGGGCTCTGCTGAGGTCCGCACAGGCCCTAGCCTCCTGTGTGCTGCTCTTTTCCACATGCCTGCTGCTCTTCTTGACACCATACGGTCCCTGTGAGTGCAGGCTCCTCTGAGGCCGCTCACCTCCTAGAATACGTTCTATTGATACTTTCACTCTAGGCCTGTTAGCCTGCAGCTTTGTTGTCTTTTAACGTGCTGGCATTCCAGTTTTACCCTTCGTAACTAAATTCACTTTTGACAGAGGAGTTAAATTCCCAAAATACCGTTTTCTTCCTATCTTGGTTCTTTGTGGCCCTCAGTACCTGATTTTTAAGTGCTCAGTTGTGCCTCATGTCTCCTTTGAATGGTGGAGAAGTCCACACACTCTGGCCACCCTCAAGGGCTTCTTGGGACCAGCAAGCAGATTTGGACTCTGAAGTTTTGCCACTGCATAACCCTATGGTCAGGCCTTGAGATAGCTCAGTGGAAACGAGGCCTACATTTGATCATAAAGCAGCAGAACAGACAACCAAGGCCATGATGCAACAATTTCACGTGGATCCTGAGGTAGCTTTGCTGAAGTCATCAGCACATGCTGATTCAAGCTGGCCTTCGTTGGTATCAAAAGTGCTGAGTCAGCTACTGTGATTTCTTCACTAACTGGACTCAGCTTTGAAGAAGAGTGCCATTCCAAAGGCAGCGTGAGATAATTCAGATGTTGAGACACTGGCAAAGGTTACACTAGACTTATTCCTTTATTCTTATACACTCCAAGAGTAAGACTATGTTCAACAAGTGAGTCAAAAATTTGAACAATGACACAACTCTGATATTAAGAGTCTATGCAGTTAATGTTTCAGGTGCCAACTTCTTTGATACAAAAGTATGAGGACATAAACATGAGTCATTTGTATATCAAAGTGCACATAACTGAGATTATGATGTTGTCACGGCTGTTCATTCTACGTTAAGACATACTTAACTTGTAATTTATAACTACAAACCCACACATACAGAGTAACTTTGAAGAAACCTCATTTCTTCTATGTTTTAATTCGAATTTAAAATAAGGTTTATATCTTAAGTTTTAATTTTCTTGCTGGTAAAACAAGGATAATGTGTCCCAGAAAGCTGTTAAGAGAGTTGATTTGGATCTTATCACAGAACATTTAGCTATAACACCTGATATGTAAGTTTCCCCATTAAACTATTATTATTATTGCTGTTATTATTGTATTGCTGTCATTGTACTAAAATTTTTCCTACCCATATTTGCATAGTTAACTTCATCAATCAATTCTTGTTTTCTTCAATAGCAAAAAAAGACAAATAATCTTCTAATTTAGTTTAAATCAACTGACTATAGATATTTTATCTAAAATTAATGAGTTATTATCTCTACAGACAAATGGCATCTTTCAGATTCTCTGTGTTACTGAAACACAAAAATAAAAAACAAGTTGTTAAAAGCAATAACAATATTTTACAGCAAAGTTTAGACATTGAAATAGTCACAATGAACTGACCTGAAACATGAGTGCAAGTAATATTTTCAGGGAAAAGACTATTTCTGCACCTCTGACTCCAAAGGCTTGCAGAAAAATAAGATAATTTCAGACATGAATCTTTTAAAAGTCTCATTCTTCAGACAGATAGGGTTGATAATAGTGTGGTGTTTCTCTTACGTGTTAGTGGTTCTGCATGGTTATTCAGCAAGATTCTGAGCTGAGATAGAAAAAGAAAATCTAGTCATGGAAACTATGACAGTGAATAAGCCATCACTATAATCTCACTGATTATAATCAGTGAGAAAGCCTTTATACATCCAAAATGACCCAGGGCCTTGCAAACATGTATTTCCCAAAACCATAATATGTAACTTGCTGCACTCAGAAGACTTCACCCCTGCCCAGTTAGACCTCACTTTCCAGAAAGACTTTGCTAATTTTTGCTAAGAAGGTAGTGAAAGATTTATGGTCATGGGAGCGAGACCATCTCGCATTCATAGTCCAAGTAAATAGCGGCTGGTTTGTATGATTGATTTCACAGGATTTTGAAAAGGTATCCTCAGCTAAGTATGTTGGCACACGCCTGCAATCCCAGCATTTGGGATTATGAGGCGAAAAGAGTTTGAGGCCAGCCTAGGCACATAGCAAGACACTGGTCCAAAATGTAGCAAACAAAAATGTATCAAACCCTTAGGCAAAATGAGGCTTGATAACATAAAACCAAAATATTTCAATATAAATGCATTCATAGAAAGGTCGCGTTCTAAAAAGACAAACCTGAAAAGATGTTAGTCATGGGCACTTGTAGTTTCACCAATCATGTTTCAAGCCGTAAGTAGCTGCATATAACTGGAGAATAACATATCGAGCCTTTTCTGTTTGAAGAGTGAGCACATTGTTGTAAGCCACGCTTAACACGTGCCTTGTTCTGGGAGTTACTAAATTAGAGGAAAAGATTCTGCAAAACATTTAGAGTACTCACATTTCATTCCTGCTTCTGTGACTACCATGATGTTCAAGTGGGGGTGATCCTCTTGAATGGTGAATTCCACTGTTACATGAGTGATAAAGAAGTGATGATCATTTAGCTTAGTGATTTCTTTTTCATTCACAAGTAAAAAAAATTAACTTTTATATTTCATACTTCTGATCTAAAACTTTCAATACATCTCTCCTCTTTGGTGGGTAGGAATCTGGTGTTAGAATACTTCCTATACCTTACTGGTTCCAAACAGCCTATAAAGAGTTTGGACATCTTTAAATTTATTGGCAAAATTTCACGCATTAGAAGCACAGCCCTTAGTATGACAATGATAATGGAAGGACTTAAGAGGAACTAGTAAGATTCTTTGAGTCAACTGGAGTATGCGATCAGGATAGAGTGAAGCACTCTGGCCCCTCTGGCTTCCTGTTGATGAGGTGTGATTATTCACTTCCTCATGCATGCCCACCTTGAGGAAGTCGGCCAAGAGCTTCCCCACTCAAGTTGGGACAAAGCAAGCATCTTGCTCTTGCATCTCTGAAACTGCAAGCTAAATGAATGGCTTCTCTTTATCATTTGGGTTTGCCTCAAACATTTCATTTATAGTATGAAAACTGAGCCTGCTAGAACTGCTGTCTCACATTTGGTAGGCCTGAAAAACAAAAGTACAGAGAAATAAAGAAATTGTTCATGTAATCAGCTATTTTGTGGCATACAAGAACTCAGATTAAAAAATTTGAGCCTAAGTTGACTGTGTAAGAACTCACTGAATATCATTACTTTCTTACTAATACCCAATTCTTACCTGGCACATGCCTTACACATTCCAACTCTGAGCTCAGTTTGTGTTAATCTTCAACTTATAATGCCTGCTTTTTCCCGTCTCCATGATTTGTCTCGTCTAAGTCACTCATCTCTAGTTTAAATATCACAGTTATGCTGC